ATAGGGGGGGGGGGGGGGGGGGGGGGGGGGGGGGGCAATACCTGGAGTGAAACGACAGGATGAGTGATGATATCTAGGAGTTCCCTTTATACCAGTGGGACGAGGCACAACTGAGAAGGCACGAAGGCACCACAGCAAAGATTCTTTGCACTAAGGTCATGGTGCTATCCAGCTTGCACCATGTGACTACTGCACTACTGTGACTTGCACTACTGACCTAGGTGGGTTGAAGAACGCGTCTCTTACACGATGTTATCAAAGAGTACATACACATCAAAGCCAAAGATGGAGAACTCTCAGTCCCATCCATGAGGTGGCTAATGCCCCTTTGAACGAAGGAGAAATTGGAGACCACGTCCAATGAGAACATGGATCCTCTCTGCTTTCTAGCATAAGACATCCAGAAGTCGAGGCGGAAGCTCAGGCACTATAATGAAGCTCCGAATAATGTAAATCAGGAGCTTCGACCACTAGATAACCTCCAGACATCTGAATCGCTTCCTGTGACTCACCGATAAGTTTAGACCCTTGTACTCAAAACCATGTATATAAACCCCAAGAGACAGAATAAACCAGAGTCATTCTACATGTTAATTTTGCTCTCCGAACCTATCATTAGCGTAAGCATACGTTATAAGTATTATACATACCATTCATATTTTAACTATTATACTTGTGCTATCCCTATGGGGGATTTATCGAATAATAAAGTCACATCCGTTGAAGTTACGTGCGTGTGACTTTCTCGGTTTCTTTTATTATTCGGGACGAATAATTTTCATGCTATGAAAGATATGAAGTATAGCGTCATATCTCTCAAGTTAAGCTTTAGTTTCTTCTCCGCAATTGATGCAAACAATTTTTATTTTGCATAAAAATCTGTCGATAATCTGCAAATAACCTTGACATAACCTAAAATCAACTATCTATTTACATCCGTGAACTCAGACAATAAAATGCATAATTACACGTGTATTAAAAACACAAATACTTAATTCGCGAATTCTTGGTTCACGGATTCCGTGTACACGTGTTTCTTCGGTACAAGCTTAAAATCGTACACTTTATTAGCTATGCAAGGTGTTCAAAAAAAACCATTCAATATTTATATGGTATATAGGATCATGATATTAGCAAACAAAAATGTTTATATCTCAGAAACGGTTGTCCTTTCGACCTATGTTTACTAAAGCTTTTTTACTCAGTACAATGTATCCTATACACCATATCAATATTGAATGGTTTTTTTAAACACCCTATATACGTACATGCGTAGGAACACAATCCAATAAAGCTTTGAACATATATCGGTATCGGTAATTTTCGTATCGTCTCATTTTGAGAAGGACTCACCTCTCGCTCCAAAGTTACATAACCCAAGTATTCGATTTTTGTGAACACGAATTCGCATTTATCTAATTTTAACTTTAACTTATTCCGTACTGCGAATTTGGAAATGTGAAATAATACACATAAGTGCGCTTCCAACGGTTGAGTTCTGATTAGTATATCATCCATACAAATAACCATGTCGCCAGACAGAATAAACTCTAAAAATATTCTATCCTAATAACTAATCGCTGAAATGTCATGATAGTCCACTTTTTAGGTCTAATGGCACTTTGACAAATTCGTATTGTCCCCAAGGTGTACTAAAAGTTGTAAATTTTATCGATTAATTCGCTACGCGAATATGTGGTGAAAACCGTTTTTAAGGTCCAACGTGCTAACAGATTTTTTCCTTCCAAAACCTATCTATCGTAGTGGAAGATGTTAATTGTTCCAAGTCGTAATCTTTGCACAGCGCACAATGCACAGTAAAATGATTTCTTATCGTATAATTCTAGTTTCAATTCTATTGTTGTTTCAGGTATCTGCGAATACGGCGAATCTATATACAGTAAATTCTCTCAAATAGCTGTATAGCTATCGACATCCTTTGTGTGCGCGGGCAAAAATCAGGACAGCGACAAACTTAAAAGCTAGCAGCCAGCACATCGGTGTACATTAATGCAAATACACAATAACACTAGAATGAAGACAGTAGTGTCTTAACTTTTTTATTTCTAGCTTTTTTAACATATTGGTGAGATTCGTCCAATTAAAATTAAACCAAATACGACATGCTTTACACTAGGGCTCGCAATTAACCAGCACGCAACACGAGGCTCGCGAGGGCTACTCCTCCTGATTCCCGCCGCGCATCTCGCTCCCCGTGGTCTCCACTTTCAGCTCGGAGTATCTCAGGTACGTGAGCCTGTTGCTTTATATGTCTGTGTAGCATTTAGATGATCATCGGGGAGCGAGACGCACGACGGGAATCTATTTTAGAGCATATTTATTCAATTACATCGTGATTGATTTTATTTTACGCGACTACATATTTCTGATTAGAAATATCTGTCTAAGCTATATCATGTTTGGTCTCATTTTAATTAGAAAGCTATCAGCAATATGTTTAAAAAAATTCAGTATTAGCTGCTACCATTCCAGGATTTCTAGTCAACGGAGTCGCGTCCCGTGCCGCATCATGCGCTTGACTGACTCCGACGAATCTTAGCATAGGCATAGGAATAATGCATATAGGCGTACGAATAGCACAGGAGTAATGTGAGCAGGCCTTTAACAAGGGAAATTTGGGAGAATTTACTGTACTCTGATATACTTTGCTAAAAGCTAGCCGATCTTCGTACTGTATTTCCCGATTAATTATTAATTTATCAGCCAAATCCGGCTGACATTCATCCATTTCAATAATAAGAAGTTCTCGTCATCGCTGGTATCATCTGCCGCTCTAGGCAACGTGATTTTAAATACTTTCAACGTACCTCTATGAAAAACGAGAGACAACATGGTGTTATGCTAAACAAACGCCGTTTTTCGTGATGCTATTGGACGTAACCTTCGCGCGTATCTTCCCAGATAAAACTAATTTTGAATAATAGGACTACCCGTATCGATTAGTCTTTAAATAAAATTCACATTGCTTTTGTAAATTAAAAATATTGTAAGTCACTTCTTCCAAAAGTCCTCGCCGTCGATGCCTCGTATATTATTAACACTTTTGACCTTCTTCTGAGAGTCTTGAGTCAAGTGATTACAGCTTCGCTATAGGCATAACACATGCCCTTTTCTCTCCTTGACTGCTTACTGTTCTCTAGCATGACGGCTATCCTCGTAAATCGTCATCATTCTTAAATTGTTTCGAACACCAGATGTTGTATTGTCCCCTGGATGAATCGCTCGTTTCGTTCGCGGTTTCTCCTGAATTACCGCCGCCAGTTTCTTAATGTTCAATCAGATTGGCGACCGTTTTAAATTCGTGGATTCTCATCTAATTTCTCAATTGCATGTCTGTGATACCATCGATGATTTAATCAACGATTTCTTCTTCCTTGGTTATCGGCACACGATTTGTCGAACATAATCCGTCTGTACGAACATAGTCCGTGAATGTTCCTGTGTCCTTCTATTTCCTTGCCTCAAACGTTTTCCTCAATTCTAGCCGACTGAGGCGATCGTCGTATGTTCTTGTCATCGCTTCCAATAATGCGTTGAACGTTCCGATTTTGATTGGAACCACGTAGCGGCTTTTCCTTTCAACTTCGAACCGAGAAGAATTCTCACCGTACTGACATCCAATGCTGACGTCATGTAAAGCAATTCGGCTTCTTTCTGCCATCTCAGAAATGTGCCATTCGCGCCATTAAACGCCGGTAATAGCTCGCTAATCGACTTAATAGACACGTTTGGTCGACCACTTTGTTTCGAATAGCCTTCTTGCGGATAGATATTTCGTTGCAAAAGTTCCTTCTTCCTCAAGAACTAATTCTCGATTTCGCTAATTCGTTTTCTCTCCGTAGAAGCTCAAGTTCTCCGAACACCATTGGATCCGTTGCGTTCTGTCCACCATTTCCCATCGCAAAATTTAGTGTCGTTTGGTCCTACCCTCAGTATCCAGCTTCCTGGTTCAAGGTCAGAATCTCAACCTCATCTTCGCTCGTACCTGGCACATTGCCGTCCGTAAAAGCTGCAAATTCCGCTTTATTCCCGGTAATCGTCAATCCCATACATCGTAACATTTCTTTAAGTTCGTTAAGAGTGAATTCATAAAGGTCCTTCATCATCGATGAGACATAACATAACTCAAGATGTAAAATATCCGTAATGAATAATGAACTTCCGTAAATGTACTTAAATTGAGGCCGCGCACGATTCAACCAGAGCATGTTGCTAACCGTTGCTAGCATGTAGCAAACATAAGAGCACAACGCTCCTCGCAACTTTGATGGTCAATCACACCGTTTTCCGAATTCGATATTTCTTGTTTCACCGCGCATTTTTTAACTGATTTCTTCATTCTTTATCCCACTTCTGATGATTTGTAAAACTTCTCAGGATGATTTCAAATAATCTTGGATGAAAACGTGGTGGTAAATAAATGATTGTCGTAAACAACTGCTGGCGACCACGTGAAGCGAGACGCGCGACGGGAGTCAGAAGGCGTAACCTTCGAGATTGACACATTACGTACTGTTAATTCTGAGGCTTGGACTAGGTGATAAGAGTAAACCTTTATGTGCTTTCGTCAATACAGGTAATCCAGTCAATTCAATTTAAAGGTTGGTATATACTAAATATTTTTTGCAGAACAAATTGTTACATGTTTGAGAATATATAAATTCGAAAAGAGTTAACAATACAGCTATTTCTACTTATGCAGAAATTAACGATCACATACAATTAGAAAAACATCAATTGCTTTTGATGTGCAGCTAGAGAGAATATTGTGTAGAAACCAAAACCAAAGTGATTTATCAAACCAGTAATTTTATATTTGAGTAGTCTTTTGAAATTAATGGACAAGTAAATACTATTTTTGCAATAAATGCAATAAATGAATGTGATTGTTACGATACAGTCTTTGAAAAATTGGATGTAATGAAAAACAGCATGATAGAATTTTTGCTTGAAGTAGTTTCAACGGAAGTAGAACCGCTAAGCGATGATTATAAAATTAGAGTGCACTTCAATGATGCTTCGTTCTTCATATACATACGTTCCTAGACGAACACAGAAAAAAAGAGAGCTTCGAAAAATTACCGATCATTTACTGACACAAAGCATTATAAAGCCGAGTATTTCACTTTACTGATCTCGAATCGAGTTGGTCAAAACATATCAGGAAAGAGGTAAAATCTTTACGAAATTGAATCGACGAGACAGTTTCCATCAAATAAAGATATTTGACTAGTATTTCTCTTTTCCAAATGATTTCTCTTTTGCCACAACATTTGGACATTATGAATTTGTCAAATTGCCTTCTCATTATTCGGAAGCACCATTGGTATTTCAAAAACGATTTGAATATATTCCAGATGCGGCGTTTCGAAATCGTAAAATATTGTTATACACAGGGTATTCCATTTGAATCACTACATGCGATTATTTCCAAAACTATTCGTTATTTGGAGAAATGTTTCAAACCAAAACTTTTCCTATTTCGAAAAGGAAAATAATCCAGTGCCGTAATTTTGTTTGTAAGTGTATACATTTCTTGAAACAACGAATAGTTCTGGAGATAATCGCACATAGTGTTTAAAATTCTGTACAGATGATATATTAATTTCAACTGTTTCTATCTAAGAATTTACAGATTATAAAGGAGATCTTAACAGCACTAAGGAGCAACAATCTGGAATTAAATTTGTCTAAATGTTTATTCTTGAAGAAAGAGCTTGAGTTTTTAGGGTATGTCAAGGTGATTTAAACAAATTTTTAATTTTAAAATATTTAAAAATTCAAGTCATTTAATCTAATTCTAAAAACATTATTGCGTTTTAAAAGGTGTCTGAATATTAATCACAGTCACTGTATACAGTAAATTCTCTGCAATTGTCCATTAGCTTGTAAACAAAAATGGATGTTTTGGGAAAAAGAAATGCGATTATTCAAGCTTCGTGGCTCGTTCTTATAGTTGCCGATTGTTAACAACTATAAAAACGAAGTGCAAAACTTGAATGAGCCTTTTCAAATTATTTATTTTTGTTTACAAGCTGAAGGACAATTGGGGAGAATTTGCTGTATTACTTCAACGATAAAGTTCTAAAGGTTTCACGCCTATTGCATATATTAGTAAATCAACAACCAGAGAATTCACGGTTAGCCGAAACAGGATACGTTGTTAGTGCACAGCACTAATGTCTTTATGACACGGACGTGCATAACCGGCTGTTTTTCGAGCCCAGGTTTTTTGAGAAATCGTTTCTCTCGGTCTCGATGGCCGGGTCTAGTTATGAAGAAGGAAAGGTTCCGAAGGGTCAGCCTGACATTGTTTTATGACGGTCATGCCTGGAGGAACCTTCCTGTCTTTGCCGGGGCCTTGCGGCCGTCTGCTTTGAAACGGACCAGCTGATTGGCTATTGCCAAAATCGGGCAGGACCAATCGGCGAATAGTGTAGGTGCGTTGGAGGGATGGTAGTCTGCTACGAGCGAGGGTATTCTCTGATAGAGCTTCAGAGTTGTAATAG